TATTTTGTTTAAGTCTGAGTCACGCTTGACTGCTCACAGGCGTAACTCATTAGGTGTCTAATCATTGCTGCCTTTTTCCCAATGAATACATATCAATGTGTGTGTGTGTGTGTGTGTGTGTGTGTGTGTGTGTGTGTGTGTGTGTGTGTGTGTGTGTGTGTGTGTGTGTGTGTGTGTGTGTGTGGTATTCTACGATTACACATTTGGTCACTTTTATTCATGGATCATTTACGACCTCACCGTCGTCACAAGTCAGGACACATTAAGTCAAATTTGATCTAATTTAGACATTGAGGTCGATGACCACAGAGAAAATGGCAACATTTGTCTTGTCTGATTTTACAACAAAATGATTCACTAAAGCTGTGTTGCGCTGCGTACATAAATGTATTATTTTATCTAAAACCATCATATATTTTTTTTTATATTTGAAATCTCTTGTTTTCACACACACACACACACACACACACACACTACAACTGCTGGAAATTCCTTCTCCATTTCGCTAGCACGCCAAAATATCCTTTTTAAATGACGCGACGTGATTTGCCAATGACACACATGCACAAATCCCACAATGCAGTCCAACAGCTGCTTTACGGAATAATCATTGCGGCTATATGTGGTTCATATACTGTGCATCTTGGGTAGCACACATATGTGAGAACTGTGTAGTTCTCTTTGTTTGATGTTTAGTTTGACAGCCAAATTGCTGATTTTGTGAAGTGAGTTGAGTCACTTTTCCCCCATAAAGTCTAGTCAGAGAAATAAACTGCCAATCAACGGCCCCTATTAAAAAAAAAAAATAAACTCATCGGTCAGGTCACTTGTACCTCAAGGCACCTCTGGACTATTTGCTATTTCTCCGCATGTGTGAAGCGATAGTTTTGTGAAACAATTCCCCGTGTGTTAGGTGTGGAATGTTTCTTTGGTACACTTTTGTCCCCATCATTTACCTTTCTATTTTTATAGATGTTTTTCCGTGGATGTGTGGGTTACATGCCATTAAGTGAACTAAGTGCCATCACTGATGCCTCCCCCTATCGAGTGCGCAATGAGAGTGGCTGATTGGATGCAGTTTTATGAGCTGTGACTTGCTGATTTTTGTAGCACCTAATATCCCTCTTTAGTAAATTTGGAAACGCGTTTCCTTTGGTCTGCTGTGACAATAAAGCCCGGGAGTGAGATGCAATCATTTTTGCAACACTGCGTTCGAAACAACACATCAGGTCACACCACTGGGACTGCGGTTGCTCACATTGACTTATCACAAACCACCACTAAGTGTGAAGTAAATAATAATCACTCGGCTCATAATTGCATCCCCTAATAGCGCCTTAATTAGCACATCATCTCAATTCAAAGCTTTTAGCTATTCTGAGTTTTGACTGTATTTTCCAATGTGACGGACCAACATTTACTGAATTAGATACATCTGGCGCCATCAGCCCCTCACCCATAATCCTTCGATGACAGGAAGGTTAAATTGAGGCTATGTTCTTCACTAGATGTTGGGAATTTTGAAGCATGGGAAACATGAAATAATACATACATTCAAAGCTACTAGAGTTTTGATTATTGCGAAACTTGACTGATAAATTCTTGACGAAAAGAATCAAATCAATTGGCTGTTTTCCGACTGCATCACAACTGACCCACTTGTTAACCAATTCCTCCCACGCATTATGGACCAGGAATGCCCAATGTTTTGGGACCAAAGATCTACTTCTTCAGCCGCCAATCATCATTATTCATTTTATAATAATTTGTTGCTTTTTTTTTTTTTATGTATCCTGCATGTGAGATTCGTTTGTCAGATCATTGGACAACAGCTGAGGCACGATGGCACATTTTCAGCATTTCGAACAAACGCTCTTGTGTTTCAGAATATAATTGTGTTCCTGTACAGTTCAATAATGACCTTGCCACGTCATCTGTAAGGACACCAAATGTCAAGTTTGTCACTCAAACCTTCTCTTGTCTTTCATCTTTTGTCCCTGCTGGGGTGACATCCGCTGAATACGCCAGCTTGTCTGGTGACACTGGTCATCAATTATGAATGTCAATCACTCTGATTAGATTTTAATGCCGTTGCATTAAAGCCTTCTGTTCCGCTCCGTTCTGTTAGGTGCAAATTGCATTCACCGAGTCCCGCAGCAGCTCTCTGAAACAATCTCTTTCGTGTTTTTTTTTTTTTTTGGGTGAGGTTTTTGACTTAAACTCACTGACCATTTCATTAGCTACAGTGGCATGGTATAAAATTAGCTGTATCCAAACAATCTAGCACTATGTCTACAATGTTTTTGGTTGAAACTGTCAGAGTTATTCACTTCATATTGTTGCTGTTGTTTTCCACGTTGTTGCTTCTGTTTCCCCCTTTGCTGAGTAACGGATAACAAAAAAATTAGAAAAAAATATTTTCAGTTTTTCTTTCTAATGAGACAAATTTATCTCAGCATTTTTCCCCACAAAGCACTGAAAATAACTCGCGCATTTTGGGAGACGTATTTTTTGTTGTTGGACAGCAATCTCATTTTTGTGTCATATTGATTTATTCAGCACAAATTTATTCGTACCGCAGACGAATTGCATTTTTATGTTTTAGTTGGAAATGATACAATTAAGTGACTTTTACTGAATGAAAAATTCTAGAAGTTACCAAGATCCTTGAGAATGGTGCAAAATATTGTGTTTCCTCAAATGTGTACAATTGAATTCTGGATCATGTAAAAAAAAAAAAAAAAAAAAAAAACTATAAGATAATATTATTTTTCCCCATATTTGTGTAGACAGAAGATACCTATTGAGCAAATCCAAAAAAAAAAAATCTAATTTAAATTATTTTAAATTTGACCAGGGGATATATCATGATATATATATATATATATATATATATATTTTAAATTTCAAGAGGCATACCCAATGTTTTGATCAGTGCTGTATTTCACAGTTAATATATGCTAAAAAAAAATAACTGGCTTATTCTGTCCACCTTTGTCTTTGTGGTCCATTTTTCTCACAAGATCTACTTGACATTCAAATCAGGTCGGCAATGTTAATTAGTGATTGTGTAACTATTGTTAATCCTTGCGATTGGACCGCCATCTGTGTAGGGTCACCACCTGCTCCCTGGCCAGTAGCTAAACCAGAGCTAGCGAGAACCTGTGAAACAATTAACTCTTGTGAAGAAGAGCAATCCATTTCGACAAAAAGAGGGTAAAATAAATGAATAAAATACACTGCATTAAATTTCAGTTTCAATATCCTGTTTGTCTCTGACTGAGCGGCAGTGCATTTTGTATCCACTGTAAATTTCACTATAGTTGCAAAACCCTCAGGAAAGCCGAATTTATAGGACTCTCCTGGGCTGAAAATGAAATACTTCTGAAGAAAGAAATATACATTTTTAATAAAAGCAACATTTTATTGATATACCCGTTGAAAGTCCCTTTTTTTTTCCTCTCCTGCGCATAAGGGTTCTACAAAGTCAACGTTTGTCCATGTTCCAAAATTACACACTGGCACACATGCACGCACACACGCACGCACACACACACACACACACGCACGCACGCACGCACGCACGCACGCACGCACGCACGCACGCACACACACACACACACACACACACACACACAGTATGTACACGAAAATATGCCATTTTTTTCTGAAAATAGAAGCCTACAACTTCCACCTCGTTTCTATACTAATTAACAGTCATTATTAGGCAGAGCCTGGGTTAAACATGAGAGCGACAGGATGAGGCTTTAGTGCTATTCTCATCTTACTCCCCAGTGCAAATTTTCGATTGTTTGTCGTTTACAAAAGGAAATGAATTACAAGCAAATTACATAAACGCAGTTCTCGCTTTTGCCGCGATTGTAGAAGTGAGTCCTTGAAACTGAATATGAAATTTTCCGTGAAAGTCCTTCTAACATTCTCTGGGTTTTGTTGGTTACCACGAGATAATAACTCTCAAAGTTGTTTTGCATGCTATACACATTTATATGGCGTCATTATTATTGGCTGACTAAACATAGCCCAAGGCAATGGCAGTCAGTGTGTCGTAAGGCAAAATGCTTTCCACACGTTGCAGTTTCTCTATTGGACTGAATCTATCTAACTAAGAAGCCAATTTTAAAACGAACAAACCGATTGTTTTTCTTTTTTTTGTCATTTGGAATGTCGACGTGTTTGAATCATGCAGCTTAGCATGGACAGAACTGCATTTATCAGCAAAAGAATCACAAGGAAACTACTACGGCTGTATGCCCAAAACATTTGAATTTGATTTCAAATATCAGTTTTTTGAGTGTAATGTAATTTGCTTGTGTCATTTTCATGCACGCTGGCATACCCCATGCTTCACTGGAGACCGCTATTCAACCGGAGGCTTGGTCTGAGACCAGTTCTGCTCTCTTTGAGGTTTCCTGAGCACAGCAGAAACGTTCCATCTTTCATACTCTCAACTTGCGTGATTTACAGCTAATAAATAATTGACGAGCCGCAAATAATGGAATACCAGTCGAACAGAATTTTCGAGTGCATGGGAGATTGATGAGCCAGTGCAGTTTGCATGCAACTGAATCCTCGTGCCTGCAAGTCAAGCATTTAGCAGTCAATTTGTCTGGCTCAGACAGGAGAGGGGTGCACAATGAAGTCTACATAGCCTCCAGAAGTCATTTTTGGAACTATGAATGTAAAAAAAACAAAGCAGGTTGCCAAATCAAAGCAAGTGCTTTGTCTCATTCATCTATTTTATTATGTCGGATTACACACGTTTTGGCGTCAATTCAATTAGATTGTATCCTGTAGGTCATTTTAATTAAATGGAAGACAATTTTCACACCGTGAAAAACAAAAGGTTATATTTTCTTTCTGTCATCAAGGTGGTATTATGGTTCGATTTTCATTGCCTCTTGGTTTTGTTCTTTTAATTTATTTATTTTTTTGTCACCTTTCGGTGGGTAACTGTTTTTTTTTTTTCTGCTTTTCTCCAGGTTATAAAGCTGTCATTTGAAGAGTTTGACCTGGAACGCGGCTATGATACACTCACAGTGGGCGACGGCGGGAAGATAGGAGACACTAGACGGGTACTTTACGTGTAAGTAATATTCATACTGTCAATACTCACACCAGAAATTGTATTGTTGTTGACGGATAATTAAGGAAATCAAATAAACGGAGCTGGCAATGTTGACAGCATGCATGCACATTACACATAGGATGCACTGTGGTGTAGGAAAGTATCATACCGAGCGGTGCTTCTAATTGTGTCCAAAAAAAAAAAACTCCAAGGATTGGTATCACCTAATATATTTCAAATCCAAACTACAAAGTACCGGTACGTGTTTTCCTCTTCACTCTGGGTGGGCCAGCATATTCACAAAAAAGATTCTGAAGTGTTTGCTGGTTCAGTGTACGAGAAGAGGCGAGAGTTCTGGCAGGACAACTCATCGCTTCTCACAATACCTTGAGCATCTGGCAGTTCCTGGCCAAGAATAACAAGCAAACTTCGGAGTCACTTGCACTGTCTCTATCAGATTACCGGTAGTTCCTCTTTCCTCTCCTTGGAGGTTTAGACACATGGATGACCGAAATGGCCATGATGACCAAGGTGCGGAAGATCCTGGACTAATCCTTCCAGTAGTGCATGAAGGCGTGAAAATGTGTTCGAATCCTCGAGGGTTAATTCAAAGGGAGAACCATGTCATGTGTTTGTCGGATGAGTTGTATATTTTATATTTAATCATATAATGTTATATTTAATAATATATATTTTGTGATGTCAGTCTTGAAATACTTCTCACACATCCTGTACACATCTCATCTAGCAAAGATGCAAAAAGCTCTCTGAAAGATGCAGCGGGGTACAAAACAGCAAACTGCAGCAATGCAAGGTACGGTGCTTTTCTGCTGCTGAGTAAACACCTCACCAGAGCAGCATTCTTGTATGTATCGTCGAAGGTCAAAGAACAGCCACTCTGTTTTTTTTTTTTCACTCTGTTTATTTTCCCTTCAGAAAACATTAATTGCGCTGTGAATGCATTCAGAAACACTTTAACATTCTTAGCTGTCACACAAGTGTCTCAATACAAACTCTCAATACAAAAAGTGACAACACGTATCATGATCGCGATCGACCGGTAGCCCGCGGACTGGTCCCAAGTTGAAAAGGTTGGGCACCCCTGCTCTAACCTGCTCTAACCTAATAACATGATAAGCTGTCCACTGTAGTAACCGCTGTCCCCGAAAGGTTTCAATTGTGTCGGCCGGGTGAGTTCTTATCAATCAATCACAGAATAAATATATCGACTTTAATTATCCTTGGATTGTAAGTACCCTCCAAATAATGTGTCCTGTGTTTATTTTTTTGATGTGTATCTGTGTAGACTCACTGGGTCCAGTGTTCCTGACATCATTGTGAGCTTGTCCAATCAGATGTGGCTTCACCTGCAGTCTGACGACACAATCGGCTCTGCTGGGTTCAAAGCAGTCTATGAAGGTATGTTCCCCTGCGGCACCTTGAACTTTTTCAAGGTGCCGTGCACACACACACACACACACACACACACGCACTTCACATCACAGAGTGTGAAAGTCAAATTATTGCTGACACTTATTTAGTCGTAAACACAACCTCTTTTTTCCTTCTCTATCGGGGTGTATGTGTGTGTGTGTGTGTGTGTGTGTGTGTGTGTGTGTGTGTTTGTTTAACTGTGAATTACAAGATGGCGATAAATGAATTATGAGTCAATCAGTTGATCGTTTTGCTTGGTTATTTTCATATTATGCATAAGCTGACAGTGAGAGAGAGAGAGAGAGAGAGAGAGAGAGAGAGAGAGAGAGAGAGAGAGAGAAAGAGAAAGACGGGCTGAAGACAGAGTGAAAGTGAGAGGGGACAATGGGCACGTTTGGCTAATAATTCACTATTTAGGACACTTCATGCATTTTATAGATACATGCGATGAATTACAGCTTTTTTAACATGCCAGTGCAGCACTGTAAGAAGATTTTAAATTGAATTCAAGTGACACCAAGGCCCTAGAAAGGTAAAGATGGAGGTACAGTAATTGGATCCTGGCAGTTGGGAAGACAGGAAGAGAGGTGGCCTGTGAGAAATTGCTAGAATGAGACAAAATGACAAATTGAGTGTTATCTATGTGTTACATGAGTTAAAGAGAGGATGAGCGCTCATGAAAGAGATCAATTGTGTGCTGTTGGTCCTTGCTGCCCTGCCACTGACAATGTAGGCCAGGATCTGTTGCTTTTCAAGGAATTCTGCATTCAGTATCAAGGACTAATACGAATCCGTACGTTTCAAAGCAATTCCTGACTCTGTGGAGATACACGGCACACATGTCCGTGTCCCCTTCCAATTTATTTTCAACTTACATTTGTGGAGGGGTGGTGGATACTGTAGACATTTCTGGGTGAACTTTTTGCACAGTGATATTGCCAACCAGAGGGGAAAAAAAATTCCTCTCACTCAGTATGCTTGCCGCTCGTACAGCCAGGTTATGTTTGCACAAACTAGCCAAATAGGGAAAACCTGTCCTTGGACACACCACAGCAGTGGGTTCTGCATGGTGGGAATTTGCAGTGTTAGCTAGTAATCATTGGCCTCTTGGTGTGCGGTGCAATAATTTCTACAGCAGCTATCCAGTATTGATAGCGTGGGCCAAAAAAAAAAAAAAAGTTCAAAATGCTTCTCAAGCCTGGCTTTTTCCCATTAACTGGTTCTCTCTAGCCTATCAAAGCTGCGCATTAAGAAATGGAACACAATTTAAAGCCATTGTGGTGACAGACCAATTTGATTCTGTACACTCAGTTGTTGCTGCAAGAGGTTCTGCCCACTTCTCGTGTCAAAAACTTTTCATTTGCAACTAGCTTGCTGGACAACACTGTGAAACTCATTCAAGGCATCATTTGGAATGAAAGATGCTAGCAAAAACAAAAATTAAATAGAATGAGGGTCTCCTCCTTGGACTTAGCAGCAGATAGATATTGGCTGTGGGAGGAGAAAATGGACCGGTTTAGCAAAGTAGAGAATGTAGAGTATTACTATAGCATCCAGAGCTAACATTAGCAAAATATAATGATAGCCAAACAATAGCTAATAATGAGCAAACCGTTAAGAATTCATGAACACAATTTTTAGCCTCAAATACTGAAGCGTTGTCAAGATGAAACGGTTGAAGGCAAAAATGTTAACTTTTAAACCAAAGTGGCCTCGAAAGAATGTGGATGATCCATTCACAGCAATCCTGTCAGAGTTGATTATATATTCGTCGATTTGTTTGGAATAGCTGACACAAACATCCATCCAGTTAAACATTTTCATTTGGAATTGCCTTCCCTTTGTCGAACATTCTGGACTCCTTAAAGCTATTTTATATTACAAAAACATAGTTTGGTGGACTGTATTACAATCTGACTGCCAAGTTGAAAACAGCTGAATCACCACCATGAGCAGCTCACCTCTCTCAAAATTTTAGGTTTTCAAGAAGAGTAATGAAGTCTGCCCACCTAGTCAGAGTCTGGTGAAAACGGTGATATTTCGCACTTTTGAATTTCTATTGACAGAAAGGACAAAATCAGTGTTTGCATGAGGCATTTACAAGCGATAACTTGAAAGAAGACAGACGCAAACATGAGACTTCTAGATATTGTTGCAGTCTGCATTTTTACTCAGCAGAACTAAACAAGTGGCTTTCAGAGTGCTTTTTGTGTCGCCGCTATGCTGTCACATCCTATAATGTCATCCTTTAAAGGGACCCAGAACCGTGTAACACTCTGAGGGAGTCATTCAGCCCTGAAAGTGGGTGTATATTTTCAGCATGTTTGCAGCATGTGTGCTGCTGAATAACCTGACGCATTTGAAGAATTGAAACTTTATGGATTTGTGTGCAGAGAGAAAGACCGTGTTAACATCATAAAAAGAAGCACAGCACATTACAGTAACCGAGGCTTTCGGTGAACTGTGACTGCCATCTTTCCAGGCTGAAGGCAATCGGCTGCAAAGGCTGCGCCTATCTGAATAATGTATTTTCTTTTTCGACTGATCAAAGTCCTAAAAGCAAGCAGGGCACGTCTTTGTCTACAGCAGTGAGCTGTCACTTTTGGAAAGATTTAGGTTGACGACACATCATCCGTGATCATTATTTTTATTGACACTACGTATCATATATATATATATATATATATATATATATATATATATATATATATATATATATTGCCTTAGGTCAAATGTACCAGGTCAAATGTACCTGCAGAGCTCAATTTAACCTCTGCAGGGGGTCGGCAGACCACTTTTTTTGAGTGACAAATTTCAAATGTCAAGGCCCAATGTGTATGCAAAGTTTGGTGATTTTTTTTTTTTTATTCATGTTTAGGCCCTCAAAAATTTGATTCATTATGGAAAAGAATAGTAGTAACAATTTCAAAACAATAGGGACCTTGCAGTGGTGGCTCTAAAAAAGAAGGCACACGAATTGAAGACGTGAGTTATAAATTGGGATGATGAAGTCCAGTTAAATACTTTAAACAAAAGTAAGAAATTCCAGAAATACTTGACAAAGACACGAAGGAAAGGTAAGGTCTGAAATAGCCAATTTCAAAGCACACTCTCCCTCCCTCTGTCTCACCCACATGAACAAAAACACGCACGCACACACACAAAACTCGCCTCACCTTGAGGTGTATTTGCCCAAAGCTAATCCAGGAGCATGGTGGGGCATGTGTTAGCAATGGACAGACAGCTGGCAGAATGTCAGATTTTAATGCTACAAAAATACATAAAACATTGCTGTTGATTAAAAACCTTTTCAATTAAGGAAGGGCAGGATAGAAGAAGTCAGCAAAGTCACAGAGTGTAAATTGATCCTATTGAGGCATTGCGGCTCTTTGAAAGAGCGGGCAGGACAAAAGAAATAAAATTCATGAAGGTAACAGAGTGTGATCGCATGTGAATATGAGTTTATAGCACACTTGCATATTTTCTGGCCTGTCATAAACATCATCCTGTTAGTTAAAGGAGCATGCCGCCACTCATTGTTTTGCCTTCCGCAATTAAAACAAAATTGCTCCTCAACGTCCCTGAAGACAGCTTAGCTGGGAGAAGGAACACGTTAGAATGGACCTGTAACATGTTCTATCATATTCATTAGCTCCGCAGTGCACACACACCCACACCCACACACACACACACACACACACACACACACACACACACACACGAATGAAAATCGGCCCATTTTCTCTGACTTGACACAACCATATTAGCTTGGCTGCTGGTGTCCCCTGCAGTGTTTTTGTCATGCTGTTGACAGGCCAATCAGGGATGCTGTCAGCTCGCTTCTAACGAAAGTAGCTTTTGCTTAAATTTGAGGAGCGGGACCTCATTTTCTCTTCATAGGATATTAGCTGAGTGGACAGTGTCTAATTTTTTTCTGTCATACAAGGACAAACATACACTTGCATTACCCAAAATGTCATCATAACATCCTGAAGCAAATGTCAGCATAGTACATTGCAAACATTTCCATGTCTTATGTTTCTGTAAGAATGAAGTCAATAGTAAAAAACTATTTTCCCGTTTTTTTCCACATCAGCATGACTATCACAGTGTACAGTTCAGTGGGGGCAAATGTTAAATCATGTTGCTCATATTAGCCCTATATTTATTTTTTAAAGACTTCATAGACTGGAGTGAATTCAGAGATTAGTACATTATTCATGTTTGAAGGTAATTGCTGAAAATGAGCAAATCCTGAGAACTATCCATCCATCCATTTTCCGATCCGCTTTATCCTCACAAGGGTTGTGGGACCCTGCCACTGAGCGTACACTTTCGCAGGTTGTCTTGCGAACAGCCTGTTTATTCGTCTGGCCTCATTCTCTTTCGTGTACCTCTTTAGGCGACTGGACAAGGCTTGGAGCCTTTGTTTGGCAGTTTCGAGTGCTTCAGGTATGGTCATCTGGATGTACCTCTCAGGTATCGGCCTTTTCATCACACCTCTCTGGGCCTCCATCAATTGACTCACATCTTTCCGAGCCGCCTTGATCTTAGCCTCCAACCGTCTTTTCCATGGTGGGTAACGTGTCTCTTGGCTTCCATGGGTGTTCTTATAGCCAAGCATCTCTAGGATCACTGATGCTGAAGCGTATATCAGCTCATTGGTTTCCGTGATCGTTATG